TGTTAGCTGCCATATGGGTGCTGGGATTCAAACCCGGGTCTTCTGCAAGAACAACCAGTGTTCTTAACCGCTGAGCCATCTCTCCAGCCCTATAAAAATATTATATCTCTTTTAAAGTTATGTGTAGTGGTGTATGTATGCCTTTAATACCAGCACTTGGGAGGCCAAGGCAGGTGGATCTCTGTGAGATTGAGGCCAGTCTGGTCTATATAGTAAGTTCCAGGTCAGCTGAGGCTACAGGGAGACCCTGTCTCAAAAATACCCCCCAAAAGTGTGTTTTGATTCGTGTGTGTGTGTGTGTGTGTGTGCGTGCGTGCGTGCGTGCGTGCGTGTGTGTGTGTGTGTGTGTGTGTGTGTAGTCATCCAGAAGAGGGAAGCAGATTCCCTGGAGCTAGAGTTGCAAGCAGTTGTAAGCTGCCATATGTGGGTGTTGGAGACTCAACTCAGTTCCTATACAAGATCTCTTAACCACTTGAGGCATCTCTCTAGCCCCCAAATATCAAATCTTTTTTTTAAAAAAAATTTTTTATTTTTTTGTTTTATGTGTATGTGCGTATTGCCTGCATGTAGGTAAGTGCACCTATGTTGTGTAATGCTGCGGAGGACAGAAGAGGCTGTCAGATCCATTCACTGGAACTGGATCTTAATATGTACATATGTGTTTGTACATGTGATCTTAAAAATAAATGCTCTTCATGGTAACTATAAAAGTTTAAGACGGTAAGGTAGGCATGGTGGTGTACACCTTTAATCCGAGCACTCAGGAGACAGGGGGAGGTGGATCTTTGTGAGACTGAAGCCAGCCTGGTCTACATAGGGAATTCCAGGCCAGTTGGTGCTAGACCCTGTCTAAAAAAAAAAAAAAAAAAAAAAAAAAGTAAATAAAGTTTATGATGGCTAAGGCAGAATTAGATTGTAAGTGATTTGTATAGAAAATGTTTCTGACCTAAATCCCCCGGCTACATCTACTTTTTAAAAAAGTAGCAATAAATAATCACTGCCCAGTGGAGACTAATGTTGCAAAAGAATTACAAAAATAACAAAAGAGGTAACAACGGAAAACTTGTTTTGTAGCTCTGTCTTCAACCCCCCATTCTTCCTTATTTTCAGTCTAAAAACAATAGACTCCGTAGAGACTGTGGACAACAGTACTTTTGCTGGATTGTATAGGATAGGGCAAGGAGTTGGGAGGGCTGGGCAGGGGCAGGATGGACAAGTGTTCCATGGAATGACCTTAGAATTGGTTCTGTGTGCTAGGGGTGGGGGCATTTACTGAGAACAGTGCTGTAGTTTAGATATGAAATCCCCTCACAAAGATTGGTTCCCATCTCATGGCACTTTTGGGAACTGGTAGGACATTTAAGAGGTGAGGCCTGATAGAAAGGTCACTGGAGACATTCCCTTTCTTTCCTCTTTGCCTTCTAGCTGCCATGAGGTCCTTGTCTGTACACAGCCTGTACCCCATCCCCAAGTGATTTTCCATTCCTTATCTGCCCCCACATTCATTGCATTCTGGGAGAACTGTACACACACACACACCCAGACACACACACACACACACACACACACATACACACACACACACACACAATACACACACATACACACACCCTGAAACCTTTTTGTCACAGAATTTGCTGGTGACGACTGATTTTTTATTAATCTGTGGAATTCACCTGTCTGTCCTAAGTCTATAAGCCTCAGGAGGGCAGAGCTGGCTCTGCCTTGCTCACCAGTGTGTCCCCTGTGTCGAAGGTACCTGGCACATAGCAAGCACTCAGTATTTTGAAAAGAAATGAAAAAACATAGGTCCTTCAGACCGTTATTTACCCGACTTATAGTGTCTTCATCAGCTCCATTTTCTCGCAGCCAGCCAGTGAGCTCAGAATCTTCAGTGATTGTTCCAGGAGAATTCAGGTGGCAGGTGGGAAACCCAGGAAGATCTAGAACCAAGTTTGGGAGTGTATCTTTAGCTTCATAGAGGTCACCTGGCACCCGCAGCGTGTCCACAGACACTGACTCTACTTTAAAGGACTGTTGTATCAGAGAATTAAGAGCAACAATTGAGATCAGCCATATAAATGACAATGTAAATAAAACCCAGACTAATCTACTAGTAAATGGAAATCAGAATCAATAATGTGATGTACCTGCTTTATATGTTCATATCAGTTTTGCAGATTATTAGAATTAACTTTGCATGCCCAAATTATGTTATCTATTTTTCTTGCAAAATAAGAGGAACACAATTAACAGAGTACTCTAAAATTATAATATTTTTTTGCTATTTGCAATAATACAGTCTGAACAAATGACTATAAGTTTCATTTTCTTCTAATTAGCAAATAAAATTCACTTACAAATTCTCATAAAACAGACTCCTTCAATGTTTCGATCTATGTTTATTACTATAAGCTTATCCTATTTAAGCCTCTTCAAATTATAAGGGATAAAAAGCTGGAATATACGAAATACAAATGCAAAGTAACAAAAGTAGCGTTATTTTATTTTATTAATCTCATTGTAAAATACCTAAAAGGGAAGACTAAATAATGGAGGATCTCTGTTTACCTGAATAATATATAACTATGAACATATATTTTTGCTATGCTTATAAGAAATAATAATTTTCCACAGTTAGGAACTAGATTTTTAACAAAAACAATTCAGAGCTGGGTGAGGTGGTGCACACTTTTAATCTCAGCACTTGGGAGGCAGAGGCAGTTGGATCTCTGTGAAACTGAGGTCAGCCTGGTCTACATAGTGAGTTCCAGGCCAGCTGTGGCTACAGGGTGACCCTGTCTTAAAAAAATTAATAAATGAAAAATAAAAAATAATTCCAGCTGGTCAAGGGACAGATGCTGACTAAGCTATGACATAAACTGCCTGCCAGCCTTCCCAGTTTTGTGTTGGGGTTAAACAGGATCACTTACATGGATTACTTTGAAATTCGCTGCGACCTACCTTTTGGTTGGGACTTAAGTTTCAGGTGTTTAATTTCTTGGTCCTTTTCTTCAATAGCTTGATGAAGGAGTGCTTGTAACTCTTTTTCTTTCCGAACCAATTCTTCAAGTAATCTGCAGAAGCAATTTAGACTGGTTGGTGTGGATAATAAAACTGGAGGTAACACAGAATGACTTCCTAAGCATGGCTTCTCAAGCTATGGTGAGCACAGGGGATTTTACAGACTCTGAGCCAATGGCTCTGAGCTGACATCAGAGATTGCACATCTAATGAGCTCTCAGGGGAGACTGATGTGGCAGGTCTATGGAGACCTGCAGTCATCTTTCTTAAATATGAAATTCTGAGGAATAACTGAGGGTGAGGCTGCTTCTAACACCTGGCATGGCACAAGTGCTCAGTAAATGTTTAGTGGTTGTTGCAACTGTAGTCAATACTGCTCTTATTCTTCTCATTCTGGGAGCAGGGACGGTTAGTGACGTGTTTAAAAAGATAGCCCTGTTCTGGTACATTCAGTTCCTAAAGTGATCTTGGGATCTGTTATACTCCCAAGATACAATGAGAAATGATGCTATTCATAACATCGTTTTTTACGCACGGAAGGCTCACTCTACAACTGAGAACAAATTGGTAGTCTGCTCACCAAGTCCAGCATGTTTCTTGGAGAAATCATTCCAAGTTATGAAAACAGATGGCCTCATTTTTTAAAAAAGCTATCTCTGAATAACTTAGAGTCAGAATTCTACAAGTTTAAATTATATAATTATTAACAAGACCTTTAAGACAAATTACTGCATAGCCTGTGGCTCTTAGCAAGGTATTCTTGTTTCACTTTTTGAGCATTGATAGATTTAACTCAGGACTATGTTCGTCCGATGTTTGTTTCAGTTGACAAGCTTTGAAGGCAGCATGCTGCAACTAAAAGATAAGCCTGGACTTGTGGACTGGTTCAGCCCCACGCTTCCTGTGTTCACCTTAGACACATTACATAATACTCTTGGGCTTCAGTTTTCTCTTTTGTAAAAAGGAAAAGGAAAACTTCTGGAAAGGACTACTGTGAGAATTCAGGAGACAGCAGAGATAAAAGGCTAAGCACAGTAGGAGTTTCTGAGCCCCAAGAGCTAGGAATCCACATAGGAATTAAGGATGAAGCCCTTGGGAAGGAAAAGGGATCATTGTAGAGTAAGGGACAAATCAAGCTGCAAGTGACAGAGAGGTGGGTTGAAGAAGACGGGTGAGCAAAGACACCTGCCAAGAAAATGTGCCGCACAGTTATGTGGGCTAAGCAGTATAGACCAGAGGGGGAGGTAAGGGGTTAGAGGAGATTTACTATCAGCTGCAACAGAAATGATATTCAGAGACTGGGTGGAAAGCTCTGAATGAATTTCTAAATTGGCAACTCTTTGGTCTGGTACATATCTTTGTTAATTTACATCTACGGAACACTGATGGTTGCGTTGCCATTGTTTTCTCAAAGGACACAAACCTTTTCCAGAACTTGGCATATGTTTATTTAGACTATGCTGTTCATTTTTACTTTTAAAAGCCAGAACTTCATGCTGGAAGCACAATCTTGATGGCTGACCTCAATCGTTCCAAATAGAGCTTTAAAACTACTTACCTAAATGAAGTTTGTATCTAGCCCATCTGTTTTAGTTTTAACATATATAACGATGGCAACTTTCTCCCTTTCTATTCCAGAAAAGTATGGAAAGTAACTGCCATGAGGCCAGTTTTGTGACTCAGGTGAGCAAAGCTTCTAAGGTAAGTTGGTGGGAAATTCTAGAATTACAGGACAGGGAAATCAAATAACCAACTAGAAACTTCTGAGTGAAGTTTTAAGAATGTTCCCAATCTCTTTGTGAGAAGTGAATTTTCAGAACATTTTATTAAGCATATACTTAAATAGAAGCAAGAAGTACATTCTAAAGTCATTTTGTTGCTTCCTCTCATTTATAATTACTGCTGATCTAATAATGAAGAGCTGGGGGCTAGAGAGATGACTCAGCAGTTGAGAGCACTGACTGCTCTTGCAGAGTACCCAGGGTTCGGTTCCCAGCACCCACATGGCAGCTAACACTGTAACTCCAGTTCCAGCAGACCCAATGCCCTCTTCAGACCTCCACGGGCACTGTACAACATGGGTACACTTACATACATGCAGACAATACACTCATATACATGAAATAAAAATAATAAAATATTAAAAGAGTCTTCATCAGTAATCTAAATATTATAAGCTTATAATGTTTTTGTGTATGTGTTTATGCATACATGTGGGGGGTTATGCA